ATACTGTATATATATATATATATATATATATATGTATAGTATAACATATACACACATATAATTGTAATTATTATAACATTATTATATATTGTTACTTAATAAATTATGTTCATTTTAAAAAGTATAGTTTTTTACTCCTTTTTCCCTTCATATTTTTAATCATCAAGTCCAAATCCATATAGTTTTCCTTCTTCTGCGGACTACAAAAGTAGAGATTTTGCAGATATTTACCAAGTGTACAGTGATTTATAAAGCAAAACTCCACAATTGGGATAAAAGTCTTATAAAAATCATAATTCACGGAGCCAAAGCTCTGAAAAGTCATACTGACAAATAACATAACATTTTATGTTTAACATAAACATTTTAATTAATTAAAATCAAAACATGTGCACCAAAAACATAATTTTCTAGACATAATTTAGTTTTACATAACCATTTTCCTCCCTCTCTCTGGTCATATTAAACTACTGTACAGTTACTGTACCTTTAAGACTTCTATATATAAACGACATCTGTTATGGTTGTCTAATCTCCATGTAGTAGCAGTTCACACTGTTGTTCATCAGAAAGGCAGGTTACTGCTTAGGTGAACAGGTGTTGATGTATAAATGTAGGCGGTCATATGTTAATGTGCATATGTTCACGATGTCTGAATTCTAATTTACCAAATTTTGCAGCTTAGTTCCCATAAATGGTCTGGGTGGAGCTTTGTGTTGCATTCGCTTACAAAGCAGATTGGACTCTTTTGTTTTAAAAGAGCAAAGACAATCCTGTTTTCCAAGACATGCCTCCGTTAAGGCATATCAAAAAATGTGACCAATTTGAGCTTATCAATGCTGTCAGAAAATAGCTGTTAGCTAAGCCGTTGTCTGCACATACACAAGACATTTAGCTCAAAGCAGACTATTTAACCTGAGTGAAACCCTCTTTTATGATCCTCCCTTAATCTGTGCTTTTGATTATTCACCCATAAACAGCCCCTAAGAGCCCGGCGCTCCTCACTTACACACACATTGCCTAAACTCAATCTTTACATGTGGTC